TAGTCAGCGGACGTTCAATTGCAGAGCGACGGCTAGCAGTGCGGGCGTTGGGGGCATTGTTTCGCCCGCCGCCTCTTCGCCTACTGCGCGGAGGACGAGCTGATGAGCAAGCAGTCCTTTGCCGAGTACCTCTCGACCAGCCCGGGCATCAGCCCGCTCGGAGCGCTCAGGAACAGGAGGGAGCGAGAGGCCGCCGGCGCAGCAAACACGGCCTTCATGCACGAGGAGCGCGTGCGGCTGCGCTGGCTCCTCCGGGCAGCGGCGCGAGAGGACGCGCTTCCCTACGAGCATCCGCTGCAGGACGCCTTCCGCCGAGCAGGGGCTGCGGCGGCAGCGCGCGCGGACGCGGTCGTGCTCGACGAGGGCTTGGAAGGCGATGAAAAGTACTTCGACCTCTGTGACGACTCGTGACGGCCTGCACAGGTCGCCCTGGTCGCCGTCGCCGTCTCGCCGCCTCATCCGCCAACACGGCCGTCGCCGCCAGGGCCGCCACTGCCATCGCCATCGCCGTCGCTGCTTCGCCCACCACTACCAGGGCCGTTGCTCTACCGCTCCCCAAGCGTATTGCCGGTGCTGTCACGGGCTGCCACTCCTAGTACCTTGCTGCTCGGTCGCGTTCAGTCTAGGTCGACACGCTACCCTGCCGTTCGGGCGCCGCTCATCGCTTCGCAGCGAGCCCGGGCTCTGTAAACATCTCCGTCGCGAGCTGCGCACGCCCCGCGGGTCCGTGTGACTGTAGCTGTATCTCCCAAACATCTCTCGCAGCTCAAAGCGATCTCCCCTAATCTCCACGGCTCGAGATTGCACGAGATAAAAACGGCGCTCTCGAGGTGGGGCGCCAAGATCTGGACAGCGGAGCGCGTAGAACGCGCGCTGCTGATGTGCACAGAGCCCGGGATGGCCAGCATCCGCCCTCGTGGTCGCGAACGGCGCCGGTCAGCGCGTGCGGCTCTGGCAGCCGCCCGGCCGCGTCGGAGCTGCAGAGAGCGGCACGCGGCCCGGTGCCGTTCGGGCGCCGCTCATCGCTTCGCAGCGAGCCCGGGCTCTACAAACATCTCCGTCGCGAGCTGCGCACGCCCCGCGGGTCCGTGTGACTGTAGCTGTATCTCCCAAACATCTCCCGCAGCTCAAAGCGATCTCGGCCTAATCTCCATGGCTCGAGATTGCACGAGATAAAAACGGCGCTTTCGAGGTGGTTCGCCGGAATCTGGACAGCGGAGCGCGTAGAACGCGCGCTGCTGATGTGCACAGAGCCCGGGATGGCCAGCATCCCCCCTCGTGGTCGCGAACGGCGCCGGTCGACGCGTGCGGCTCTGCGTCAACCAGTACGGAGCCCGAAATGCGTCCAAAAGTAAAAAAATCAGCTTTCCGCGCCTCCTCACTGCTCGCCGCCGCGCAGGCGTGTTCCGGGGGCCCAGTGGAGCACTTCATCTAGTGGCAGCACCGGCTCTAGAGAAATTTATAATTTCTCAGTGGGGTTTTGACATAGTGGACCGCTGAGCCGATCGGACCGGCTCGAGGCGTCACTTCCTGCTTATTATATGTTGATTGTTGTGGAAACGCGTAAATGACCGAGACCCTGTTAGCCTCCACCGACCGTCCGCCACAGGATCCATCGCCAGCCCGCGAGCACGCTCAGCGACCCCGTGAGGAAGCCGAGCTCTGCAACATCTAGCGGGCCAGGGCCGATCCCGGCGCTGGAGAGGAGGAGCAGTCCACCCTCCGCGAGCGCGACCGCTCCTGCCCACGTGGCGATACAGGCGGTGCCGGCCTGCGCCGCGTCGCCTCGCGTGAGCGACGGGTCGTACAGGCGCAGAAGGAGCGCGGCGGCGACCCAGGTGAGAGCGAGTGCGGCGCCCTGAGCGGCCGGAGCCGGCAGCCGCTCCGTAGAGGTGAAGAGCTCCGGCTCGGCATCGGCGAGGGGAGAGAGGACCGCGTCGACCACTCCCTGGACAGCCCCATAAATCATGCTTACAAACGCGTCGCCAAGTAGCGCCTGCTGGTCGAGCGACTGCTGATCCCGGCATAGC